TAATTCATATATGTTTTAATCTAGCGCATGATATCTCCAATATATCTCTTACTGATAGTGATTCTGCGCCATCTGTGATATACGATTCTTCTTCAGACGAACTAAGCGATTCGGGTGAATCAGCCACTGAAGAAGAATCTTTAAAAGAATTCTATAAAGAGGTTTCCCAAACACTTGAACGAGCTTTTTTGGATGGTCATACAGTAGAGATTGCTTTATTGGAATTAAATACTTTGAGAATGGCTTCAAATACAACAATTCATGATTTACGAGTTAGTGTAATACCTACGATATTAGGGCAAGTCAATATTGCCAATTTTTTAACTAGTACAGAAGATGTAAATATTGTTCAATATAAGAATTGTCATATTGTTTGTGATTTACAATTATTAATATATATATATATATCATATATTAATTATTCAGATATTGGATCAATGGGGGCCGCTTATTGGAAAATTAATCCATTCCAAACAAGATCAAATCGATGCTTTATATATTTTGCAGGTATACCTCTGACAACTTTTGTTACTATTACTACTTTATTTCAAAGAAAATAAAATTATGTCTATTAATTAATGTAAATTAATAATGTAGGACCATTGTGCGAAAACGCAGCATCATTCCAAACTTTTCGCTCCGGCAATAAAAAAGCTATATTTTTTGGACGTATTGGATGAGGAAGCAATTCTGGAATGGAATTCATCTGATCTCGCTGATGGTGACCCTTCAAAATTTAATATAAAAAAACGGGTACGTTTATTTTTTATTTAATATATTTAGGGTATTTATGCTAATTTTTTATGTTTTAGGTGGCACCATTTATAAAATGGTTGGAAGAAGCTGAAGTCGAGGATTCTGATGATGATGATTAAAAACATAATAGTTCACCTACGTACGAAGTACGAACAATTGTTCCCTATAATTCTGGCAATCAAATTTCTAGACCAAGTGTAACATGATTATTGAAATAATAGATCCGTTTTGTTTAATAAATATGTAATAAAGTTGCGCGTAAATTAAAGTTAATAAAACTGTATAATAGGTGAGATTATGCCTAAAGCTTGAGGATAATAACATTCGCATAAAATGTAATGTTTTAATTCGAATCGAGATTCAATAAAACGAGTGTCTTCTCTATATTTAAACCAGGTAGTCTGACCTCCATCTGTGAACATTCACATTAAAAATGAATAAAATGAAAAGCATAAAGATCAATATGAATGATTATTTTTTTAAATAGTTTTTAAATAGTTAGCAAACATAATAACAATAATAATAATGGTAATAATTTAAACACCTTTTTAATATGTCGACAAATTTGCATCAATATTGGAAAATCTTGATCACAAACAATATCACTAGCCAATTCAATTTCTTTAACTGATCCCATCCATCTACGAACACTTGATTCGCGTAAAGTTGAAATATGATGATTTAATAAGATCAAAATAATTTAATCCATATCCATAACGAATAAAAGAGAATCAAGTCCAGGTGAATATTTAGTAAATAAACGAAACAAAGCATGTATAATTGCATTATAGGATTATTATCGGACGATTAATAACACACCATTCTTGAACCGAAATTAGATGATGAGAAGAATCAAGACTTCTGCTAAGATGAAAAGGTTTATTCCATAATATTTGAATAGAATTAACGCACCAAGCGCGATTAACTAAAACACAGATGGCGCAGAATCACTATCAGTAAGAGATATATTGGAGATATCATGCGCTAGATTAAAACATATATGAATTA